TCACAGCTCACAGCAACCTCCAACTCCTGGGCTCAAGCGAGTCTGCTGCCTCAGCCTCCCAAGTAGCTGGGACCACAGGCACCTGCCACAAAGCCTAGCTATTTTATTTTTGGTTGCAGCCATCATTGTTGTTTGGTGGGCCTGGGCTAGATTCAAACCTGCCACCTTAGGTGTATGTGGCTGGCGCCTTAGCCACTTGAGCCACAGGCGCCGAGCCTCAAGAGTCAATCTTCTAATGCTAGACATATATAACATACTCTAATAACAAAGGAGACTGAAAGAATAAAAAAGTGAGACCATATGATAGCATAAGCAATCTAATCCACATATATATTTTTAGAACAGGTCCTTACTCTGTTGTCCAGGTACAAAAGAGTGATCATAGCTCAGAGTGAACTTTAACTTCTAGGATCAATTGTTAATACTCAATATATTAACAAACAATGAATACAAGTCACCTTGAGCACCTCCTATAATTGTAGAAGTCAAACACGACTTCAATATTACAAATTTAATACCGTTTTTTCCTTTCTTAAAATGTATATGCATATATTTTCAGTGCCCTCAGTATATATTTCTTAGTATCACACTGGCCATTTTATTAATTTTGCAATGCCCATATTCCTACATCCAAAATGGTACTTACTAAGGGATTTTCAAGCGTAGCTTTGATTATACACTATTTTCCCCTCTGGACTGGCTTTAGAACCTAAATCATACTCCATCCTCCCTCTCCCTACCCTTATGTAACTCTATTCTAAAACAAAATTTAAAAATAAGATATGAGCCTTAACATTCAGCTGTGAAATTAAAAAAAAGAAAAGGAAAAACAGGCAGCTGATGTGCTGGTTGGCACCTCTAATCCCAACTACTTGGGAGGGTGAGATGGAGAATTGCTTGAGCCTGGGAATTCAAGGCAGGCCTGGGCAACATAGCAAGACTCCAATCTCTTTAAAAAAAGGTTTTGCATTACACTAATATAAGCCCAACTAATTCTATATTTTTTTAAAACAAATCTTTACAGAGAACCTTTATGTGCAAGGTACAATGCTAAGTACAAAACAGGTACATGAGGAACTTGCATTCACTCAGTAAAAGACTTATGGTTGGCACATGAGTAATTTAAGGAAAAATAGAATGTTGAAGGCCACAAGAGTACATGCTAAGGACTACTAAGAAGTTGAGAAAAGGAAGACTAGAATAAAGCATTAGGGAGACTATTTTTTTTTTTTTTTTGACAGAGCCTCAAGCTATCCCCCTGGGTAGAGTGCTGTGGCTTCACAGCTTACAGCAACCTCCATCTCCTGGGCTCAAACGAGTCTCCTGCCTCAGCTTCCCAAGTAGCTGGGACCACAGGCGCCCGCCACAACGCCTGGCTATTTTTTGGTTGCAGCCATTATTGTTGTTTGGCAGGTCCGGGCTGGATTCGAACCCACCACCTTAGGTGTATGTGGCTGGTGCCTTAGCCACTTAAGCCACAGGTGCCGAGCCAGGGAGACTACTTTTGATAGCTGCTGTGAGAAGTGGTGGAAATTTTAGTTATATGAAGATTAATTATCTTTAAGAGTGCCAGAAGTCACACAAATTTCACATTCCAAAATCAAAATAAAGGGAGCCTTTCATTAGTGGAAATAGTGAGCTAGGTAAATGAGCCCATATACCCCATGCTAAAAAAGTTGAAAATTAAAAAAAACAAATTCTTCAAAAAAAAAAAAAAAGGTAACAAGATAGTAAAGAATTTTGACAAATCTAGAAAGTAAAAACCAGAAATTAAGCCCAATATTCAAAATGGATTTCATAATGAAGATTTCTGTAACCTAAAAGCCACAGTTTTAGTGTCTTTGTGAGGCCAAAGAAACCAGTCAAGCCAGGAGCCCACCCACAGTGTAAGTCTGATAACTACCTTCTTTTCCCTCTCCATCTTAATCTGGCACCCCAAAGAACAGCCTTAAGGTAAGGTGAACTGGGAATTAAAACAGCAGGAATCATGAATAGAAACAGACTCAAAAGGAATTCAGAAAGTGGAATTAAACATAGAAATTATAAAACAACTATGCTTACCACGTTTAAGGAAATAAAAATCAAGCCTCAAAAATTAATAGCAGGGAATACTGTTAAAAAATAGCACAAAACCAAACAGAACTTCAGGAATGGTCTCAGTGCCTGTAGCTCAGAGGCTAGGGCATGAGCCACATACACCAAAGCTGGCGGGTTCGAATCCAGCCTGGGCTTGCAAACAACAATGACAACTACAACCAAAAAATAGCCAGGCGTTGTGGCAAGCACTTGTAGCCCCAGCTACTTGGGAGGCTGAGGCAAGAGAATCGCTTAAGGCCAACAGTTAGAGGTTGCTATGAGCTGTGATGTCAAGGCATCTGAGGGCAACATAAAGAGACACTCTCTCTCTCTCAAAAAAAAAAAAAAAAAAGAACTTCAGGAACAAAGAAAAGCAGAAACTAAATTTAAGTTTTAAGATTTCAGGGGACAAGTTTAATAACAGATTAGAAATAATCAACAATTAATGAATAAATGATCCAAAATATAGTATACAAAAAGAGAGTAAGAGACACAGAGAATAGAGTGACAAGGTTTATGCTAATCAGTCAAGAGAAAATAGCACAGAAGCAATATATGAATACAAAATGGCTAGATATTTTACAGAACTAAGTAAAGACACTTCTCCACAGATTCAAGAAGTCTAGTAAATACCCCTCAAATTGCATACAATATAGTGAAATTACAGAAAACCAAACACAAAGGCAAAACAATCTTTAAAACATGTTCTAAGGTCGGGCGAGGTGGCTCACAGGTATAATCTTAACACCTGGGAGGCCGAGGCAGGTGGCTTGCCTGAGCTCACAAGTTCAAGACCAGCTTGAAGAGATCTCGTCTCTAAAAACACAGTGGGGCATTGTGGTGGGCACTTATAGTCCCAGATACTTGGGAGGCTGAAGCAAGAGAATCACTTGAGCCCAAGAGTTTGAGGTGGCTGTTAGCGTTGATGCCACAGCACCCTACTAGGGTGACAAAGTGAGACTGTCTCCAAAAAAAAAAAAAAATGTTCTATATAAAGAGTGAAACAGATCACATTTATAATGAAGATAAAGTATGTTCAAAAGGTGACTAATAGTGAACACATTGGCACTGCTTAATTTAGCTACCACAAAGCCATAATACACTATGATTGAGCCTATGGTTGAAACATACATTTAAACCATACACTTAAAATTACTTCAATGTGGTTTTCAATTTCTGAAGCAGCAACTTGATTCTTCACTCAGTGGTTCTCAACCTTCTTAATGCCGCGACCCCTTAATACAGTTCCTGTGGGTTGCGACCCACAGGTTGAGAACTGCTACTCTAACTGAACATCAAGATTCTTGGAAGGTGAATGTGGAAGACTGATAATCTGGTAAATGTGAAGACTGACAATTCTTTCTTTCTTTGAACCATGAAGAATTTCCCCACTGGGCAAAGGCATTAAGACTTCAGTTCAAAAAAAAAAAATAATTGGGCAGCCTCTACTTTCAGATTATTAAAAATTGTTCAGTTCATCCCAGATTCTTAGAGACTGTAAAAGCTGTTTTTACCTCTGCTCAATTCATTACATCAAAAAGGAGATTCCTTTCAAGGATTTCAGAAGGGTGCCCTCCTAAACCCTTTTATGGTATCCCTATGGAAACATAAATATACCAAACTGAAGAATCGACAAATCGTATCTGACACCTGCCCACAAGAGATCTTTCGGAATTCTGATCACCAAGTTAGCACTTGGCTTTCTGAGTCCACTCGTGACCTACCCAGTTGGACTACCTGAGGATGGTGGTCCCAGAATCTGCATTTTAAAAAGGCCTCAGGAGATCTGGTTTTCCGCTACCGTTTGAGAACTACTGCTATGAACGAGTAGACCTCCCCTTTCCTGTGGGTGGACTAATATTCACAAGGACTACCAACTCTCAAACAAGACCCATCAAGTCTTAGTTTCTTAACTTTTCTGCAAAATGGGCCAGCTGGCTTGTTTTCTATTAGAAGAAAACGCGCTTGGCACAGCCAATGGGACATAAAAAATTTGTTTTCTCTCCTGCACTTACGTTGTAGGATTCAACCATTTCCAACCAGGCGTCCCCACATCTCCTGAGTAGCCTGAGCTGTTCCAAAACCTCTGGAACAGAGCCTCCTCACTTGAGGTTTGCGTGGCACCACCTAACAGAAAAGTGGAGAAAATGGGCAGACGCCTGGCAGTCCTGGGCCCACCTGAACGGGTCGGGGAGCCTCTTCCCATGACCAAGATGATTTCCCGCCGGTTCCCTCGGCTCCCTTTAGGCTGAGCCCCGCAAGCCGCTAGCTCTGGCAACTCAGGACACTGGGCAAATACAAAAACCGAGAACAGGCCTGTTCCTAATCCTAACATCAGCCACAGTTCTCCATATCTTCGGCGAAGAAGCTGAAGCCCAGGTTTCGCCACCAGGCCAGGACCCGGGCCACACTCACCTACCAGCGCGCGAGAGGCGAGACTCCCTCACCTCGGCGGCACCCGCCCCAAAGCGCCAGCGCAAAGTCGTTGCCTCGTTAGTAAAAAAAAAGAAAAGAAAGAAAAAGAAAAAAGAGGGGAAAAAAAGAAGGTTAAAAAAAAGAAAGAAAGAAAGAAAATAGCCTTTGCTTTTGTATTCCTTTTGACCCTTCAGGGCTTCCTGTTCCTCACCGCCACAACAAAGTTCCGCCCCGCTTCCGGCGGCGTAACCCAATCCGCAGGTCTCCCTCCCCAGGAGCCCGATGGAAATCCGGTGCCCGGAAAGGAAACCGGGGTGACTTGATTGGGCCATTCACACCTCTGCGTGACGATTGGCCAGCTCATGCCTGGGGGGCGGGGCAATTAATTGAGTCACGTGACACCATCTCAGAGCACCGATTGGCTGCTCTTGGGAGGGCTTGCCACCGAGGAAGGGGCGTTTCCTAGGGGACTGAGGGAGGGCCAGGGCGGTACGAAGCAGGGGAGGGCCCTGCGCGTAATGGCAGCGCTGTGGCCTCGCGTCCATCTTTACCGCTCTCTCGGACCTGTCACAAAGGAGTCGTGCCGCCGCCGCTGCCCCCTCCCTCCGTGGGCCCGGGAGCTAGAGAAAGTCAGTGCCGCAGCCCAGCCACACTGCTCTGGGAAGTCCCCTTGGGCACGCGGAGCGGGAGGGAGGGAGTCCGAGGGCTAGAGACGACTGTGAAGGAGGGAAACAGCCGCTTGAGCCTCGGGCGGGCAGACCGGACTGGGGCCGGGGCCGGCTTGGAGAGAGGGCCCGGGAGAGGGGTGGCGTTGGGCAAAGCCTGGGAAACAGCCAGCAGGTTCTCCGCCGAGGCCCGCGGTTCGGGCGTCTGAAAGAGGTTCCGGGAAGAGGGTGTTTCCCCCTTTCGAGGAAGGAGGTCTTCCCAAGAGAAGGTGCTTGGGGGTTGCCCGCCTGAGGAGGCTGCGGCTAACGGGGCCCAGGTGAGGAGCATATACCTCCTGTGGAGGCTCCTAGTGTTAAGGGGTGCTCCTCTCGGGCGGCCGGGGCAGAAAGGGTAGACGAGGAAACGCTTTGGGAGGGTTCCTTTTGTGGAGTTTGCGGTTTAGGTGGCAAGGGTGGGAGGCAGATTTCCCGTAGTGAGATTTAGAAACGCCCTGTGGTTGAGAGATACGGGGCGAGGGGCTGGAGGTGGGAGCCAGACCTAGCGGATTCTCCTACTACGGAGGCCGGAGCTGAAAATTGGGTAAGGATCTTGGGGAGAGAGGGTTTCTGGGTGGTTATGGGAAGACTTCCCCATTCATAGCAAAGCCCGAGTGGGGACTAATGAGAGGGAGACGGGAATGGCAAGAGTTGTTCTTCTCTCTTGAACCCAACCAGGTGTCCCAGACGCAGGATTCAGCTGCTTCTGGGCTTAGTGCCCTGGCAAGGTGAAGGGAGGAGTCCATCCCACAACTCTCCCTGCGTGACTCCAAATTGGGCATTTGCCTGCTGCCTCACTTTCCTTGTCTCTAAGGAGGGAAACCAACGCAGAGATGGTCAGCTGAGACTCGGGGGTTCTATCTTGTATAGTTCTCCCAGGGAGGTTGCTCTTCCGGGAGAATTTGTTGTACTTTGAACTTTTAAGGGTTGGAAATGTCTATGATTGACTGAGTCCTGCAGTTTTCCAGGGCCCTCACCTATCATCTGTTTGTGCTTAGTGAAGTAACTTAACCTTCTTAAGTCTCTTCTGTAAAATAACCAACGCAGAGTGTGAAAGAACAAACTACAAGCTGTGTGACAGTAAGGTGCTATGATGCTACAACCAAATGGGTTGCTCTTGGATAAAAGTGGACTGTAAAGTGGTGTGTAAGACATAAGGGATTAGCATTAATACACTTACTGTCTGTCACCTATGAAGTGCTGGGAGCCATATTGTACTGAAAGCTTCAAGGTTCACAGCTTCTTAGGTCGTATTATACCGAAATCCCATAATTTCAAACCCGGCTTAGATGAGGGAGGAGGGGTCTTCAGTTTGGGGCCCTAGCATTTGTTTTAATTTACTTTGAACTTCAGATGGTGCTGGCAGGAGTTGGCACTATAATATCATCTTTTCCTTTCCCAAGATTTTTTCCCCTGACAGCTGAAATTTCCCTCCAAGCAGTTTGATCTCAGTATTGTAAACCTCTTCACCCTTCCCAGAACGTATGCATGCGTGGCTTTTAGATGTCTTCAGATAGTGAATATCATCCTTCTTCCCTCTGCTTTGATTTTTGTCTTTTTTCTTCCATTGCCTTGTAGTGGTAGCCCCAGACAATTGATTGGGGCACATTGGAGATTGCTTTTAAATTTCTCTTCCACAGTGGTTCTTTTTTTTTTTTTTTTTTTTGAGACAATATTACTCTGTCACCCTGAGTAGATTGCCATCATAACTCACAGTAACCACATAGAGTGCGTCATAACTCACGGTAACCTCAAACTCTTGGGCTAAAGTGATTCTATTGTCTCAGCCTCCCAAGTAGCTGGGACTATAGGCACCCGCCACAACACCTGTCTCAAACTCCTGAGCTCAAGCAATCCACCTGCCTTGACCTCCCAGACTGCTAGTACTACAGGAGTGGGCCACTGCACCTGGCCTGTTCTATTTTTGTCCTTATGTAGAGTTTGCATCTTCTGGGATGACATCTTGCTTTGTAGATCCCTCTAGGAGAATAAGGTACTTGTTTTCATGTGTGACATTTCACTAATATATGGTTATTGGTGTTTATTAGAGCTGGTTTTCTAAATATTAGGTAATTTGTGATTTTTGAAGTAGTTTTTTTTTTTTTGTTAAACTGATCTAAACTTCCTATTTTTCTAATCTTATAATCTGTAAGTCTTTTCTAAAAAATCACTATGGTGATTTTTGCGAGCTCTTGGATTTCCCAGGATACTTGTCCTGACCTACTGCTTAATATCTGTGTCCTGCTTTTTACTTTTATTTTTTAACAAGCCTTTCATTATTTCTGTACTCCATAATTATTTTTGTTATTGATTTTAGAAAGCATTCCATCATACTCTATGTGGACTTTTGGTTTGTCAGCAAAATTACTTTTTGTTTAGCAGTATCAAGGAGAAATAAACACTTAGCATTTGGCTCGGCGCCTGTGGCTCAAGTGGCTAAGGCGCCAGCCACATACACCTGAGCTGGTGGGTTCGAATCCAGCCCGGGCCCGCCAAACAACGATGATGGCTGCAACCAAAAAATAGTTGGGCGTTGTGGTGGGCGTCTGTGGTCCCAGCTACTTGGGAGGCAGAGGCAAAAGACTCACTTGAGTCCAGGAGTTGGAGGTTGCTATGAGCTGTGATGCCACAGCACTCTACCCAGGGCGACGCTTGAGGCTCTGTCTCAAAAAAACCTCAACATTTTATATGATAAGTGTGTTTTTCTATAGTGAATAGGAAGAAAAATCTACAAATCTGTCGTATGTTTTGGTATACTTCATAACAAAAAATTTCTGTGTTCCTGAAGTGTATTTTCAACAGTCTATTTCAACTCATGAGCTGAATTCAGTCTATCAAAAATTATACTTACTTCCCCTAATAATGAAATAATTTGTTATAATGAAGTGGGAATCCCTTTGCATCCTTAAAATACAGCTTTCTTTGTTACTCTAATAATCTATATAATTTGGAGAAAATATTGGGAATTCTTGAAGAGGGTAATTAGTACTACACTGCTTTAAATTGGAAATCTGTGATTTGTAATGGAAGCGTTGTAGAGTAGGATGTGATTGTCACAGTACTGCAAAAGTAAGTGGAAAGTCAGTGCACCACAAATAGGAAATAATGGAACCAGTAATCTATTTCAGAAGTTATTTGGGGGCAGTAAACCGTGGATTTAGCTTCTCTTCAAGCTTTTGGCATTTTTAAGGCATTTATTGTTGAATTTGAGTAGTTCTCCCCTAGGATTTAAATTAGAATATTGAAAAACAGAATGTCAGGAAGTAGTAAATGCCAAAACTTGGGTCATAACTTTTAGGAGGAGACTTTTATAACTTAGAAGTGCAAATGAATATTTTTCCCTTTGGATTATTTATTCCATAGGACAGAGTGTCACTCTGTCACTCGGGTTAGAGTGCCAAGGCCTCAATCTAGCTCATAGCAACCTCAAACTCGTGGGTTCGAGCAGACCTCCTGCCTCAGCCTTCCAAGTAGCTGAGACTACAGGCACCCGCCATCATGCCTCAGCCAATTTTTCTGTTTTTAGTAGAGATGAGGGCTGTCTTTGCTCAGACTGGTCTCCAACTCCTGAGCTCAAGAAATCCTCCTGCCTCAGCCTCCTGGAGTACTAGGCATGAGCCCCTGCACCCAGCCTTAATAAGTCAGCTTTTGAAATAGTTTTATTGCCAACCTCTGTGAGTAGAAAAACATACAAATTTATTGTGTTTTACTCTCTATTCTTTCCAAAAGGGAATGGTTGCTTGTTGAATATGTAAAAGCAGTAGATAAATGTATAATAAATATACAAGGTTAAATCAAATATATAGTGGTGGGCTCTTAGGAAACAAATTTCCCTTTGTTTCTGAGCTTCTGAAACATTTGAAATAGCAAGAGATTGATGTACTCCTTAAGTTTGTTAAGGAATGAACTTTGCATGTAGTTTTGCACGTAGCTTTCTTATTGCTTGAAATTACAGTTTCTAGGATAATTTCATGGGTGCTGTATATCTCAAATAGAAGGTTTGAAATACCTTATTCAGCTAGTATATTATTACCTCAGAGTTTAACGTATGAGCGTAAGTTTTTTCTTATCCCTCTGCCTCCTGAAAAATTGTTTCCTTTCCTATGTTCCCTTAATACAGTGATTCTCAAAATATGGTTCCTACCCCATCCCTCCTCATGGGAAGTTTAAAAAAAAAGTTCCTTTTTTTTAGTTCTTATTGCTTCACACTTGTTCATGCTTAAATAAACCTAGGGCTGCTTATTATTCACGTACCAAGTGCATTACTAAGGATTACTAAAATGTATTCATAGCCTCAAACTAGAACCATATTAGATTTTATTGTGATCTCTGATACGTTTTTTCCCGCAGGAATTCTGTCCTGGAAAACCTGGGTCCAGTGCAAAGCTTCTGACATGCTATATGCAGAATAAGGATTCCTAAAGTGGAAGGGTGCTTGGTTTGGGGTGTATTTTCTTTTGAGACGTTCAGGCCGGGTTCATTTATTATTTTTGTTGTTGTTCTTACAGTTTGGCTAAGGCTGGGTTTGAACCTGCCACCCTCGGTATGTGGGGCCAACGCCCTACTTGCTGAGCTACAGGCGCGGCCCCTGGGGTGTATTTTCACTGTTGTCTCAAATGATCTTGAGTTTTCATTGTCATTCATTTAATTTTTTAATTAAATTTACTATTTAGCTTCATCTATATCATTTTAATTTATGAGCTTTTGATTAACCTTTCACCATGTGGGCAGGGCTATCAGCACCTCTATTTTAGTTTGTAATTTAAGACATGAATATATCACAAATATAAGTCCTTTGTTCCCCTTTTGCTATTACTAATTTATAAAGTTACCTAAAAACTTGCTCGTACAGAGATACTTCATTGTGATTGAGTTCCTTTTCCATTGGAAAACTGATAAGGAGGCCTTCTTTTGGTATACCTGATGCT